GAAGTAACCTGCCAAGTGAAAATCTGCCTGTGAGAGGGTGTGCGCACGTGCAGCAGAGGAATGGTTTAAATGCGTAGTGGCGAGCGAGGCTGGAGTAGCAGTCGTGGTATTGGCAATCGCCTCAAACAGAGCTGGGATTCCTGAGTCCACCCCCCCCACCCCCTCGCTGCAGTAACATCTCGCTATCCATGGCTACGTATGTAGTTGACCAGACGCACTGCTCTGTGCTGGAGTGATGCGGAGCAGCCAGGCTGCATGGGGGTTGGGGAGAACTGTAATTGTCTTTGCTGCGTGTGGCCCAGGACTCCTCGAGTACTCTGCTTACTAACTGTTGGCATGCTGCCTCTAGAGGGTAGGACTGTATGCTGGTGGATCTCTTTCCCAGGGGTACAAGATCCTAACACCACCTTCTATTTAAATAGCATCTTTTATCCAGAAAGATGGCAAAGCATTTTACAGACAGACTGGCCTTAGCTGGAACTGACTCGGGGGAAAGAGCGCCACCTACTGAACTGACAACACTACTTCTTGCAGCCCCTGGGTTTACCTGGAGTCTCCTGTGCAACAGCTACACACTTCGCTTTTGTGATAAAGCAAGATGAGCGCCCAGTCTGGCACAGCTGCACACTCGTCCCATGTAACTGGTTGTGCAGAGAAAGGGAGGTGAATAGATGGCACTGAGATCTCCTCACTGGGCATGGTTCAACGGTGACCTCCGTCTGCCTTTTGCAAATACAGCCCGGGAAGGGGTGGGGGGGGGCGGGGTCTTTCTGCTGCCCCTGGTTCCGTGCAGCGTTCCTGGACTGCCTTGGCCTTGGGAGACACTGCTTTTCTAAAGGCTGTGCGCTAGTTCAAAGAGGAATGAAGTCTGGGAAGTGTTACGTGGGAGAGCAGATTACATGCTCACAGTGGTCCCTCCTGGCTTTGGAATCGATGAATTTGAGACCGACTATGGCAAGAGAGAAGCTTGTTTTGTTTAGTGCTGGGGCCTCCGGGACCTGCCTTTCTGACTTCCTACAGCCTCTAGCTAGGCACTGGCTCCCTACAGTATCCTGTCTCCTGGTTCCCAGAGAGTGCGGCTGTGCACTTGTGGGGAGCCTGTCTGGTTTTTCTAGCCTGGCATCCCCAGGTGGGTTGCAAAGGGCACAGTTGTCTTCATGTTGTGCTGGGAGATGGTCTTTAACTTAGATTAAAAAGTTATGAGGCTGTTTTCAGCAACTCCCCTCAGCGCAGGAGGCTTCCCACATCCTTTGGTTTCCCAGTCAGCCACACTGCAGCATGTGACTTCCCAGATAGCTGGCTGGCCCAGTGGCAGTCAGCATTCTCAGAGGTGTTTTTCAGAACAGCTCCTATGGGACTGGGGAGAGGGACACGGAGCTGTAGGCAAGCTCAGGAAATGAGGCTTTATCAAATGAAGCCCCCAGCATCATCTGAGAACTCTGCCTCATCTCTCCCGGCATTCAGGGCATGGAGGTTTTCCCACCTCCTTCTCCCAGGACCTTGGTGATCTTTCCTTGAGGGAGGAGGGCTGAACACAGCTCCCCTCCGCTACAGCCTGTCATTGCCACTCTGCATCAGCCAGGGCCATCCAGATGATGCAAGGCGCTCCCTCCTCCGAGGGCGGAGCAGGCGGCCTCCACAATGCTCCGGAGACTTGCACTCAGAGCCCTGCGTTGGGCTGCCTCTGTAGCACTGGGCTAGCCAATTAATTGTGGTCTCTCTCACCCCTGAACAGCTTCGTTACGGCAACTCGGAGTCTGTAACCGAGCGGGGAAGTCTGGTCTTCTCCAAAGCAGGCATTTTTTGCCTCTGACCCTCCGCTTTAGGAGTAGGGAACTGAACTGACTCCAGCGCTGTTATATACACCAGAAGCCTCTCACCCATATAGAAAACAAATAGCCCTGTTCCTAATTTGCACTTCAATAGTGTTCTCCATCTCCGATCCCAGAGCGCTGCGGGTAAACTTTAATCCCTGTGGGAGGCCAAATATCATTATCCCCTTTTGTGGGAACTGAGACCCAGTGTCTTCCCCAAGGGGCAGCGCTGGCAAAAGAAACCAGGAGTTGGGACCCCCGGTTCCCCTGCTCTAACCACTAGACCTCTCTCTCTGCTAATACTAGGGTGGGGAATGTGATATTAAACAGATTCTTGTCAACATAGTTTTTTATGCTTGCATATTTCATTAGACTCTCCAGATACAGGAGACTTAGGGAAATAAAAATAATAATAAAACAATCCAGAGAGTTCTGAGTTGAGAAACTTGGACAAATTGATTTGGGGGAAATTGCCAAAAACTCCATCTGTTTTCCCTTAATGATTTCACAAGGAAGCTGAGCGAAACCCGCCCCTGAGATGCAAACGGGCCTTGGCCGATCCAGCCACAGCACCCCATCAAGCATCTGCTCCCCCCTTCTCCAAAGGGGCCTGGAAATAAACCTCTTGTACACAGCAAACAGATGAAGAAGTCTCAGAGGAAACCATGGCGTCACGGCTGGGTCTTGAAGACAGCAGGAGCTGTGGTTCTCATCACGTCTGGAACCCAGGCCATTGGGAACTGCATCACAAGGCTGCATGCCTCTGAGAGGCTCCGTAGACACAGCTTGCTGCTGCTGGTTGGAAGTGGCTTCCAGTCTCGACCACCATTGCACCTGTACAGAAAGCAATCACGGTAACAGCATGTTGGGCTATGCCCTCTGCCGCCTGCCAAGCAGTGCCAGTGCGTCTCCCCCTGGAGTGCTTACATCCCAGCCACCTGCCCTCTGCTGGAGAGGTCTGGATTGGATTCCTTCGCACTGCTCGGACTGGCTGGAATCGGGCAGCTGGGTCGAGCACCCTTCTGGGGCAGAGCAGCGAGAGGCTGGGGGTGCCATCTGGCATGACAGTGCAAAGCCTCAGAGGTTAGCAGGCCAGGCTGCTCCTCACTAGTCAGAGCTTCTGGTTATTTGAGCAGTTGGAACATAGGTCTGGAAGGGAGCACCTGGGTCACGGAGTCCAGCTCCCTGCTGTCGCAGGCAACCCCTCATAGAATGTTGTTCATAAACCTGTCAAGCTTCATCTTAAACCTAGCTAGGTTATCTGAAAGGGTAAGGCGTCCTGGACCTGCAGCCGGGGAAAGAGACCAGCAGTAACCAGACCAGAGTCCATTGCTGTGTACGCTGACGCATCGCCGCTGGGACACACCGTCCAAGCCAGCCAGTGGTTCCAGTCCATCTACCCCAGGTTACAGGCTCAGGAGATGGTCTGGACTGGCCCGAACTGAGCCTGAGGATCTGGCAGAGGCCTGTGACAAAGCTCGCCTGCAGAGGTTGGGGGCCAGAGGAACAGGCCTCACTGCTGCACAGGAACAGGAAGAAAAGCAGCTGAGGCTGTGGGCCCAGCCAGAGAGTTTGTTGACCTTGTCAGGGACAGGAAATGGACCAGAATTCAGTGTTTTGCATGTTCCAAAGGACGGAACGTGGCAATGGAAACATTGCAAAGTTTCCCTGGAGTTACTAGCTAAGGCTAGGAGTGCCATTGAATCCTCACATGCTTTTGAGTAAAGCGCATTCACAAGTCTTTGCAGGACTGGGCATACGTTTTCCTCCAGTGGAACCTGACCCCCTTACCTGGGGGGCAGCTAGGGAAAGAGCCAGGAGAAGGTGGGAGCAGAGCAGGGGGCATTGGTTAATGTGACCCTGGGTCTCTAGTCTCCCTAACCTCAGTCAGTGGCTGGGTGTGCGTGTGTGTCGGTGTAGTAACAGAAGTCAGGAAAAATACGTTAATATTGGGTTGATACTAACGTCATCTGCTCCCCCCGGGTTGTTTTACAAGCCTCTCGCCTGCCTGGAGACCGAGCTGCTAACCAGAGAAGTTCAGAATGATGTATAAAGCCACAGAAAGGCGTTGAAATTGCCAACACGCTCTGTTAGTTTATGCTCGTTGTTCGCAGGGGGCATGTGCGTGCTAAACCCATAATCCAGGGCCAGTTTCACATGCACGCTCCTTTTGAAAAGCAGGAGGTGAGCTGCCATTGCTGTCAAACACCCATAATGCAGACAGTCTCCATGCCAGCTTGAGCCCAAGTAGGGAATCCTGTTCAAAGTTATCAAAGGTGTAAACCGGCGCAGGTGCATTTCAGTTCTGTCAGGAGGGGAAGGAATCTGTTCTCATGAGGTCTCCATCACTCGCGGGGAGGTGGTGATAATGAGTTTGCAGGAGACAACATTGTGCTGTGAGTTCAAATGTAAATGAAAAGTTCATGAGGAACCTTGACAGGTTGAGCAGCTGGTGGGAACGGAGCAGCAGCAGCAGCTCTCAGCCTGCCTCTCTCCTCTCCATTCAGTCACGTCTGTTTCCCCATCAAACAGACGTCCCTGCCCAGCAGCATGGCCCCAGTGCAGATGGAGCTTGGAGGGTATTTCGCTGAAATGTGACTGCAACGCTGACTGAAAGCAAATCAATCTTTCTGCTGAGGCTTTGCTGTGTGTGTGTGTGTGTGTGTGTGTGGTGTGGGCGCATGGGGGGTTTTCTTATGAGGAAATTGTGAAATTGCCGCTGCTGGGGAACATTTTGTTGCATTATTATTTATTCCCTATTTTGCAATATGGTCCAGAGGCTTTCAGCCCAAGGTTAATTATGTCCTGGGAGGGGTGTGGCGCTTATCTGATTCCATAATCTTGCTGCAAGTAATTTTTTAAGACCAGCTGCTTTAGCAGTGCATGGTTCTAAGCTGTGGTCCTGAGGCCAAACAGAGGCAGGGTTGGAGACATCCAGCCTGAGGCCACTGAAAATGCCCTTTTGACCTGTCGGTTTTGCAGGGCTGGGTTGTGCAAGAACAAGACAAGTGTCTTCTGCAGCTGCCTTCTGACACTGGGGACTAGAAAGTGGGATAGCCAAGGCCCTATTTCCCTGAGCACCATTATCTGACCTGGCAGAGACACCTGGGTGCGGGAGGAGAGTTGTGTGAGATGACTGGTTTCCTGTCCTCTCCTGCCACACTGAGGTGTACGTCTCCTTGGCAGGTACCACGATCAGCAGGATGTGACCAGCAACTTCCTGAGTGCCATGTGGCTCATCTCCATCACGTTCCTCTCCATTGGCTACGGTGACATGGTGCCTCACACATACTGTGGGAAAGGTGTCTGCCTCCTCACCGGCATCATGGTAAGAGTGTTTTCTCAAGGAAGCGGCCCAGGAGGGGGAAGTACACAATCCGGAGTAAAGCTTCGGGGAGCCAGGGCCAACAGATTGCCCCTCACACCCACCCACTGGGTCCTTCCTATACTGAGCCATGGAGATCCTGCCTCAGTTTCCTTCCCGTTTAGAACACGCTCCTTGGGACTCCACTGATTCCCCTCCCAGGGTCTAACCCAGGGCTACAGCTTGGGAAGCAAGACCAGGCAGGTTTTGGTTGGGGGATTTTACAGAGCCCCCTTCCTTCCCCACTGGTCGGGGGCTTCTCAGCTAGTTTGTCTGTGAGCAAGGCTTCACAGCTTTTGCTCCTGCTGCTCTACTGCTGAAAACTGGCAAGGCTGTGAGCAATCAGGATGCTGGGAGCTGGGGAGGTCAAACCCTCATCAATGGTAAGCAAAACTCACAGCGTTAATCTGAACCACTGCATGCACTGGGACAATGGGACGAACGGGAGGCCTCCCGGGCAGGCTGGCACTCAGTGGTGAAACTCACTCCGGTCTCTGGATCACTGCGTTGGATCTGACATGTCCTTTGTCTGAGGAGTGAATGACACTTAGACAGGATCTAACAGGTGTTTTCCAGATCTTGACACATGACTTTGGAGGGGGTGTGTCTGTGTGGATACCTGAAAAGCCCGCAAAGTACACAGTTGCCAAAGTACCATGGGCCCAGTTCTGTAGCCAGTGGATGCCCAGAGCTACGCTGGGTGGGAAGGCTGTAGTGTGTATAGTGTCTCAGCAATACTGGGCTACAGCAGTGGTTGCCAACCCTCAGAGGGGCAGTGAGAGCTGCCCACTAAGCAGGGAGGCTCTAACACAGCAGCTAATGCCAAACCACGCAGGGTGAGCCGGGGATATGTAATGGGCACAGGTGAGTCTTTAGAACAAGTACGGGGCTGGGGCAGAGACCCAGCTGCCACTGAGTACAGGCTGCTGAACAGTGCTGTGTGACAGAAATTTTCTGATCTCATCAGAGCAGCTCCGCAGAGACCCTGGTCTGTGCGACAGAAATATCCCTCAATCGGTGCCCAGCAGTGGGGTTTCGCAGCTGTCCCAGACAGGCCAACCTCTCAGCCACTGGTTTTTACAAGCATCTGCCTTCCTCTCCCCACACTGAGCTGCAGCCCGTCTGACTGACTATCCCGGATTGTCTCACCGACTATCGAATCCCCCCAGCTCCCGCAGCCAAGTTCAAGAAAAGCTGTGGAAAGCGGGCCCCTTCCTCCGTGTGCAGAGCTGCCTCCTCGCGATGTCACGTGTTACTGGGAGACTGATGCAGAATGAAGGGAGCAGGGAGAATATTTTTATTAGTGGAATGAAACATCACCTGGTACAGCAAACTTTTCCAGCTACCTCACTCCTCAGCAGCCTACGATGGGCGACTCTCGCTGTGTAGGATCCTCGCTTTGGCATGAAATAATGCTCCCTGTTTTCCTTAATCAAGCTAAACGAACCAGCCATGGCTACCCACTGTTTTACAGCCGGTGTCTGAGTCCCACAGCCGTTTATATCACTAGCCAAGGCCTGTTCCTCTTTCACGTACACTTGGATGCGGGGAACTCTGCTCCTCAGCCCCTGTTCAGGCCAACAGCTCCGTGGGGTTACCCAGGCAGGCGCTAGTCCTCATGGGCACCCTCTGCATCAAGGAATCTCTCTTGCTGAGACATTTCTCTCTCCTCCCTCCCCGGCCACACCCTTCCTATGCCAGGCTCCTGGTGATGATTACAGTAATTAGTTAAAGGCAACCTCCCCATTTGGTTACCATGGTGACCATGGAGGCCAAGGCTAGGGCTGCATGTGCGCGTGCTGTGACTAGGTTTAATAACAGGCATCTTGCAGAGTTCACGAGTAACCGTGCGGTGATTTGCCACCAAGCAGGGGTCAGAGCGCTGTGGCTCCTGCCGACCAGGGAGTTTCACCTACCACAGCAGACACTTGGAGCTCCTCTGCATTTCAGTAGGAGACGCCATGGCAGCTGCCTCACAGCATCGCACAGCTCGCCTCTCTGGCTAGGCATTTCGAAAGCACCCAACAGCGCGGTGTCCAGCCAGTGGCCTCCGGAGGCCCTGTCGGCTCTAGGCTGCAGTATCAGAGTGAGCAGGAGTGAGAACTGGGGCTGATTCCCCCAGTGCAATGACATTGCCTGCAGAGGAGCGTCTCTCGATCTCGCTCTGAGAGAGAAGCAAAGCCGACTCTGAGCTTCCAGGCCAACAAAGGATGGGTGGATTCGGTACAGGAGGCTGGGGTGACCCACCCCCATCATAGGTAGGGATATCTCCAGGACAAGCCAACATCTGGAGCAGGCTGGTGCTTGGTTCCTAGAACTGTTTGTCAGAACAGTGAACAGAGATGGTGAGCATCCCTAGTGTACTTGTGGGGACTAGATTCCATCCTAAAACTGCTCAGTGCCAGCTGGTTTCAATCACGTTGGAGCTACTCCAGCTGTTGTAAGGAATCCTTGGGAGAGACGAGAAGCCAGCTGTGAAGTCTCCACACCCCCTCATTCCATTTGTCATTTTCACCTCTTCATTAATATTTCATTTTGTTTGTGTTCCGTAAACTAAGCTAATGAAGTCAGTTCTCCCAGGGCTGAGTGAGAGATACCGGGTCCCCTCTCCAAAATCCTCTTGATACGTTCCAGTTTCTAGAGTTCTCCAGCTGGAGATGTCCCATGGAAGCCAGCCTGAAGGAGAAGCCGAGAGGCACTTGAAGATGAAGGTGTGCAACCTTGACTAGCCAGAGATGGATGGGTCGTTATTGAATGAAGATGCACAAAATTGTCCGTGTGGGAGGCCCTGGTGCTGTGCTGCACTGTTTGGGCCATGACGCAGCATGATCTTAACTGAGCTCTATTGTGTACTGACCCGTTGTCACCAGGCAAATGCCACCACATCCACCAGGAGACAGCACTGGAACTGCTCTGTGGGTCTCTGCTTCTCCAGTCAATAGACGACACCAGGTCCTCAACTGCTGTAAATTGGCACCGCTCAGGATCTGGCCCAGTCTTCCCTCCCCAGTCATTGGGTGCAGGGGAGAGGGGTGTGTCTTCTCTCTCCTCTTCCTTTCTATCATCAGGAGAGATCCCAGCAACCACTGTGGGTGCGCAGAAATCTGGGTAAAAATCTACCTGTGTTGAGCAGCTGCACGAGGCCTATGCACCAATTAAGCCCTGCTTACTCCTTTGGGGTTTAAATGGCCACAGCCCTGGATGCAGGTCCTGGCATCGAGGTATGGTCCACGCTCCCCAGGCTGCCTTGGGTGGGTGCTCAGCGTGGGCTCACAGGAGGGGCACAAAGGCCAGAACAGCAGTTGGGAACTCCAGAGAGACAGGCTTACGCTGTGTCTACACTGCAGCCACTCCAGTGCTGTGGCTGTAGTGTAGACCCTCATGACCCCGACAAAGGGGGTTTTCCCGTTGCTGGATTTAATCCAGCTCTCAGTGAGGCCATAGCTCGGGCAATAGAAGAATCCTGGCGAGCTCGCAGGAGCTCCACGGGGGCTCAGGGTGGCTGAACGGCAGCTCTCAGGGGTGTGGGTTTTTCACAGAGGTAGGGCAGCCGACGTTTCAGTGTTAGACCAGGGCTCAGCTTGCTCCCCTAACACGTTTCCGAGCACACACCGTGTCAGGTATTTCCAAGCCCAGCCCTGTTTCATTCCAAGGGTTCCTCTTCCGTCATCACTCTGCTTCTCTCCACTCTGCTGCCCGGACTTGCCTGCCTCCCTTGCAAGACCCTCTCCTTTATGGGCTGCATCTGCTGCTCCTCCTAGCTCCTGAGTGGGACTAAGGGTGGGATCTAGTGCATCAGGCTGGAGCAATGCTGTGGGAGCCATCTGCTGGCTGGCATGGCCTGGGGGACCATGCCAAACTACTAAGGCATGAATTTGCTCCACTGGCTGACCAGTTCACAGATTTTCCAAGTTCTATGAGAGCAACTGGTTCCCCCTCCTTCTCCTGCCCCTAGAATCCCAGGCTCGCCGGACTCTCAAGAAAGATAATTTTCAACATGCCAGAAACTACCCCTCAGTGTCTGGGTTTTAGTCCTGCCTCCATGGTGAGCTCCTGCTGCTGTTGTGCTGGGCCAGCATGCTCAGACCCTTTTAATGCAGCTCCCCTGGGGAGCATTCACTCGCTAGCCTGGGAAAGTACTTTATCTGGCTGCTGCCAGGGATATGCCAGCCAAATGGGAGGAGTGTGACACTTCCCAGCAAACAGCCAGAAAATGAGTCTGTTAGCGCCTGCCACAGCCCCTGGTGCTTCCTGCCACAGCTGACAGATCAGCCCCTCTGCTCAGCCAGCCGTGGTGGAGAAGAGCAAGCAGCATCTTCTGGGGTGTGAGTTCCTGCAGCTGGGAGGAGACGCTCCCCAGCTGAACAGAAGCAACAGGGGTCAGGCTTAGGTGTGAGTGAGGCTAAGCATACAGGGAGCCGGGTGTCAGGGAACCTGCCTGCTCAGAGCCACCCTGATGATGAGGGAGTTAAGCTGGCTGCCTCTCCCCATCCTCTCAAAAAGGAGAGTTTGTCACCCAATGGCCTAGTCTGAGTTTAGCAGGCGTAGTCCCAGAACAGTGGGACCTGAGTACACCCCTGCTTTCCTGGGACCCAGAGGATTGTATAGCGCCCTCCAGCGTGGTTAAATATGCTGTGAATTACATCGGGGACCCACCTATGCTGCCTATCACAGTCTAGCCTACTGTTCTTTGAGCCCCAGAGGTTCATGAACCACAAGGAGCCCTCCAGTGCAGCCCCAGCCATTCCACTCCGTGGAACACCTGTCAGCACAGGTGAGGGATCACAAAACGCCAGCTGCGCCTCAGAGCCTGCTTCTACCGACTCGGGCTGCTGCGGCTTGCGCTAGGGTGCTCAACCCACCAGTGCCGCCATTACAGCTCAGGCTGGGGCGCAGACTCCGAAGAACTGTCCTGGGCTTCACAGCCTGAGCTCCAGCCCAGGCCTGAACACCTGCCCAGCTGTTCGTAGTGCCAGACATGAGCTCCATGAGCTTGAGTCTGTAGAGCCAGGTTCTGAGACTTGCTGCCCCAGGTTTTAAAACTCAGTGTAGACATGCCCATGAATAACGGGAGAGACCCTCCGTTTCCCCATCGGTGAGCTGTTTCCTTCGAGGATTAGAGAGATTGGGTTATCTCTAGTGGAAAGAGCACGTGCTGGGAGCCAGGAGCTCCTGAGTTCTAATCCTCAGGCTAACAGCGACTCCCTGAATGACCTTGGGTGAGTCCCTGCCTCGCTCTGTGCCTCGGTTTCCCCATCTGTAAAATGGAGGTGAGCACACTCCGCTCTCAGCAAAGTTGTGAGGTTTAGTTCACTGTCTTTTCGGAAGATGAAAGGGGAAGAGAATGAAAATGTAAGAAATGTGGATATCGTTATCCCCCTGTTCCCTTTTCTAACCAGAGCGTCTTGATACAACCCCTGGCATCTCAGCAGATCCCAGGCTAATGCACACAGCATCCCTGAGTGCAGTCACTTTCGGGGTGGAGGGTGAGAATTAACTGCACAACAGCCAGGGAAGGAAGGAAATGTTTCCCCAGTGACCCCGGGGCTTACGAATCATGCCAGGTCCATGGAGAACGGACAGAGCCTCCATCACTTCCAGGTGAAGGCTGAGTCCTCCTGGCGGGTTGCAGCGAGTCTGTGGTCTGATTTTCAGAGGGGCGGAGGCCGGAAGCTCCCCGGGGGCGCTGCATTTGTCCCCCCAAGCTCTGAAAGAGAAGCCAGGGGTTATTGTGAACCCGAGGCATGGCGTGAAAACCCACCCCCTCCATCTGATGGAAAGTCCTGTCTGGAGGAGCGAAGGCAGGTAGTCCCCAGGCACGGATGCCTGGCGTATCTGCAACGTTTGGACGTGCACTCTGTAAAAGACATCAGCCTGGTGTTAGATCCAGGGTGGGTCTGCAGAGCTCAGACACCACCATGATGGGCAAGGCAGAAGAGAAGAGCAATAGCACAAATCGCTTGCAGCAGTGACCTGGCCCCGAGCTAACCTCACAGCCAAGGGCAGATGTCCAATCCCAAGCTAGACTGGGCGAACCAGAAGAACCTCCACTCCAAGTGTACGTACGGAGCCTTACAGGAGAGCTCAGACCGGGATGTTTGTTAATGATTTTTAAGGAATGAAAGGTCGCTCCCCAAGGTCACGGTCTCTGCCAGGCAGCACAAGGGAGGCGGTCTCATTCCCACACAGGGAGACTCGGGCAGACACTCTCACTCTGTCTCTCACACATGCACAGATTCGCTTTCAGGTTGGCACCTTTTGCTTTCAAAGCCAAATCTATCCAGGAGATAATAGCTACCAACGGGGCTCTCCGCTTGCCAAATGGAACATATCCTGACTCAAACGGGCACAGTTCCTACTGTAATTGCTTGGTAAAAAGGAGCTACCAGCTGTCACCGTTTAGGGGGAGGGAGATGGGGGGAGGGAGGACGAGACAGAGAAAGTGATTCACATGATCTCATTTCTATGCCGAGCCTCACTGTAGTAAAAATGGGTAGCTGACCAACGTGCAGGGTGCCAGCAGCCTTTTCTAAAGGAATCGCTTAGGAAGAGCCAAGGAGAAGGTGCCAGCTTCAGCTGCGCCAAAAGCATAGGCGGGTTTCTTTTTCTCTGAAGCTCCATGAGAGAAAACAGAGATTGAGAGAGAGCGAGGGAGCGTGCCTGCAAACCTGCTGGGGTGTTTGAGCCATCCTCTTCCCAGCCACGTGGCCCTGCAGCCTAATACAGGCAACACACAAAGGGCTTCCTTCATGACTCTCACAAAGGAAGCTATTTTTTAAATAACAAAGGGTTTAGTCAGGACAGTAAGTGTCATTATTCCCATTTCACAGATGGGGAAACTGAGGGGAAGGAATATGCTGCCAAGGTCACACAGTGAGTCAGGGTAAGAAACTCAGGAGTCCCGGTTGCCTGCATTAACAATCCTCCCACAGCAGTGAATGGAGCCCAGGAGTCCTGGCTCCTAGTCCCCCTGGCTTAGTTGTGAGCCTACACTCCCACCCAGAGCTGGGAACAGAACCCAGGAGTCCTGATGCCCAGGTCCCCGGGGACCTGATGACTAACCCATGCTTCTTTCCAGAGCTGGGAATAGAACCCAGGAGTCCTGACTCCCCCCGCTCTAACCCACAAAACAGACTTCCTCCAGGAGCCAGGAATGCCCCCAAGTCCTGATGCTCTCCTCCTAAAAGCAGTGGGGCCAGCTCCTTAGCTCAGGGGCACTATGCCAACTGCACCAGCTGAGCTGGAGTATTGAGTGCAGCTTCTAAGTGTCTTGGGAGGGTGAGGAGAGGGCGACCGTTTCCTGATGACCCCCTGCCAACCAGCAGCATGGTCCAGTAATTACACAAACAGCCGCTCAAGGACACATGTCCAGCACTGTGGGCAGCTGACCCCATGGAGTAATTAAATAGATGACCTGCTGCACAAGGGGGTGGGGGGGTGAAGTGTAATTAATGTATGTAAATGGCTGGGATGGGGCTGCGGCCATGCAAAGCACCATCACTGCACGCTTCATCCCAAGCGTCCCTCTGCGGGAAGGCAAGTGGCATTTTGGAAGTAGGAGGGGGCCGCTCGCTGCTCCACGATTAACTCTTTGCCTTCTTCTCTCCTCCCCTTGCTTTTCCCACGGCAGGGGGCTGGCTGCACTGCCCTGGTGGTGGCCGTGGTGGCCAGGAAACTGGAACTCACCAAAGCCGAGAAGCACGTGCACAACTTCATGATGGACACTCAGCTGACGAAGCGGGTAAGGTGCTCCAGGCAGTGGGGCGTCCGTCACGGCTGGTTGGGGTAAAAATCCCCAAATGTAACCGCAGGAAACCTTAAGCCAGCTGGTGTAAATCCACTTTGATCTCAATGGAACTATGCTACTCTAGGCCTGCTGAGAGTCTGGCCTGACCGTTCTCATCTTGTAAACTAGATTGTGACATCACAATGAGACCGGACGTTGATCCGGGAGGAGAAAACTTGCCTGTACCCAGAAACTCCTCAAGCATCAACAATGCTGGCTGAAGGGGGCCGCTGGCCATTTGCACTGTAAGCTTTTCTTGAGCCCTGACAGAAAAATATCATGGAATGCTGCAGTGTTTCTGTTTCCCCACATTTCTGCAGGAAGGTTTTCCTCTCCAAAGTGCCCTTCTCTAAATCATTTCCCCCCTTGGTCACTCCAGGTAATTTTCCTCATTTCCTTATGGAAGTGGCTAGTTAAAATGAAAAACCAAAGTCTCCTCTCTGGGGCAGAGCTCAAAAGATCACTGAGCTGGTGCCTTGGTGCAGGTCGGCCTGCAAAGACAGCACTCAAAGGGGAAAACGCTCCTGTAGAGCAGGCAGAAATGTGTCCATCACAGAGCAATGGAGCACATTAACAGGTCAGGAGCTGTTTCTTGAAGGACAGCTTTTGTGACAAGTTTTCCCAACACTTCTGTCTGCATGAAGATCACGAATATTTTTCCCAAGAAGGATCCTGAAACACCACCGCCACCAGTGTCAAAGCCCTGCTGTGCTCAACAGGTCTCTGTCAAGCGGCCGCCCATTGGGAGCTTCATTAGAAACTGAGCTCGGCTTTAATCCTCTGCAGCCTGAATTAAGCGTGGAGTGATTTTTATTGTGGAGTCGTAGCAATGCATGGCCAGTTGTCCCTGCAGCCCCGTTTCACTGGGGAATTATTCATGAGAATGAGAGTTGAGCTGCTTTGCTTTGCATCCGAAGAAGTGGGATGTAGCCCACGAAAGCTTATGCTCACATAAATTTGTTAGTCTCTAAGGTGCCACAAGTCCTCCTGTTCTTTTTGCTTTGACTATAAATTGTGTTGGCGGAGGGCTTTTTTTTTAGGAGAATATACAGAGGTCAAAAGGAAAGTTTAGGGACATATTCTTTTGCTGTCGATACAAAAAATACGGCCTACTTCACGCTACAATGGCACGGCAACAGCTGTAGCATAATAGAAAATAAATTGTATAAGCCGTACATGGTCTGAATGCTGTGCAGGCTTGGAAGAGGAGCTGTCAAGTCTGTAATGAGCAAGTAACACCAGCTCTTTCTCAATCTTCTGCTCCAAAAGTCTCCTGTTTACAAGGGACTTAGGAAAATCTGGAAAGCCCAGCTGTGCACCCGAGCAGAGGAAGTGCCACAACCCTGTCCTAGGAGGAGACAGGCTGCCTTTCCCCTCTCAGAAGGGGATCCTCCTCTTCATCTCTCCAGAGCAGGCCTGTGCTGACTGGAGGCACAGTGCTTATTTACATGCTTTGGATCCCAGCTGGGCAGGGCCTAATGATCACTCAGAGGTTCTCTGCACTTCAGCAGCAGGGCCAGCATTTCAGACAGCTGCCCATCCAATTACTAGTCGTTCTTTATGCTGGGATGGTACCCACTGTGTACTAAGCACTGTACAGACACACAGGAAGACACTGGCCCTGCTCCCAAGATCTCATGATCAGAAAAGCTCAGACAGACTGTAAGGCAGAAGGGATACCTACAGCAACTGAGCACTCCAGGGCTGAGAGGGCCACAGGGCCAAGTACTAAACAAAGGAATCTATAATACAAACAGAGAGCACGATACATTCATTATAAAATATAGTTTTGTTTGTTTACTGTAAGTTTCAAATCCTTTGGTAGGACTTATTCTGCCTTTGCTGTAGGAGCAGTGGAAAAGTCTCCTGAAGAATTAGTTCTACGTGAACAAGATATTGTGTTATTTAGAGCCATACTGGGCGGGTTGGCCAGCAGAGGGATTCAACAGAACATCGAATCCGGGGCTTACCACGTTTTGGACTAACTTCTCAGTTGGTATAAATGGGTGCAGCTCTGATTTCAGTGGAATTTCATCCATTTACATCAGCATAGAATTTGGCCTCATGTCTCTGATTTCCAGTATCTGCTCCCAAAAAGGGCTGGAGGGAAAGCTGCAGAGCCAGAAACTTTTCCCACTCAGGGCAGTGCAGGGATTTCGGTGACGCTCCCCTCATGGAACCTTCCAGAGGCAAACCAGGAGGTAAAGTGACCTTGTTAATCGTGGCCTAGCACGCGCAGACCCCCACTCGCACCTCTGCCCGGGGGAGTTCATTCTTAAAGCCATTTTCCATTTTCTTCAAGAGCCTCCAGATGAGCCCTCGTGTTGAGCTAGAATGATGCATAGACCAAGCCAGCCTGGAGCGCAGCAGGTAGCAGTAGGTTCTGACAGCTGTAGGGGAGTCTAGCCAGGAAGCCGCTCCACGAGGAGAGGATGGAGTCAGCGCAGTTACACCTCTCGCCGTGAGTAGTCAGGTTCACACTTGTATAAATAGGTGCAACTCAGCTGAAGCGAAGGGAATTGCTTACACTAGGGTTGAATTTGGCCCATTAACTTTTCATGAGTCAGAGTGGATGATCCTTGCAAAGCATGCTGAGCTAATCTTTCCACTTACACCAGTGTGGCACTAGTGCAACTCTCCTGACTTTAGCCGAGTTACACTACAAACTTGTGCTGGTGTAATTATGGAAAATCCACACCCCTGAGCAAGGTAATTACACCGCCTCGCCCCCAGTGCACACAGCTGCTACCTCTCGGGGAGGCGGAGGTAGGTAGTGTCTCCACTAAGCTCTACAGAGGAGCAGCTGCACCAGTACAGCGCTGTGAGTACAGACAAAACCCTAAGCCTGGATTTCACCAGCATGAATGAGAGAGTTTCTCAGAGGGGAAGAAATCAGTGAGGACCCAGTCTTTGCAGCCTAGCCATGGAACTGCACTAGAAATCTGGCAGTGTATAATCACTTTATACCCTGTGGTGACTGTACCTAATGTCATTTCAAATGTGAGTGGCGCCAGCAATGTTTTGTACGAGTGAGATGGCAGTGAAGCAAAGGTAGGTACATGACTTTGGACTGGCTCAGCAACACGACTTGGAAACTCAATTTTCAAATGTGTCTGGATCCTGTGGAGACTTAGCAGTAGAGGAGATCGAGACCACGGGCAGGGAATTGAATTGAAACTGTCAGAGATGAAGAACGTTACACAAATCTTGAGTGCAGTGCCCTCTTGCTGAAGAGAGGGAGAAATCTAGGAGGAAAACCAGATGCCTCCCATAAGCAGCAGAGAACTGAAATGATCATCTTCATAGCCAGGGACTTGGGGCAGTCAGAAGAGCAAAACTAGCTTCCTCTGTGCTCATTTTTAAGGGATTTTAAAACATGGTGAAAAAATAAGCCGGCAGGTTGATGTGGGACGTATTTTTCCAAGGACCATGCAGTGGATTGGTCCCTTTTGGTGATAAAACCGTGATTCTGTTATAAAGCAACAAACCCCCTGAAGTGATGGTTTGGAAGGAAAATGGAGGAAGCCTAATTGTCCATGCACCCTCCTTACAGCTTCTTTTCTGGTCTCTCCATTCTCCTCACTAGAGCAGCGCCCCGTGTTACTTGCCCTCCGCCCCATTCCCCAACCCTCATGTATGTTTTATTTGTTAAATGTGCTCTAGGACCTACAGAAATCAAAGGCAGCTGCAGATAAAATCCAAGTGGAAAATCTGGTGGAAAACTAAGAGCCCCCTGAAAAGTTTAGGGATAAAATTGTCATACCCCACAGAATATCCAGGGATCTTGGGGAGATTCTGGTGCCTCACTCCTTCCTCAGGAAATCTGCACTTTCCTCCTTTCCATCCCTCCCAGCCCCAGTGTCACTGCGAAGAGACATTCGTTTCTGCAGGGTGCCCATTCTGAGCTTGAGTGTCTGGCAAGGGAGGAATGTCTTGCGAAGAGCAAGCTGCCAAAAGGGTGTTGTGCAGGAAATGCAGAGTGCCTGCCTTGCAGGGAGACCACAGCCACAGTGGCGTTTATGGTGACATAAGCAATACAAAAAGCAAACAGTGGTTAAAACCTGTTCCTCCTCCTCCTGTGGCTATTGATCTGCTGGCTTTGTACCAGGTGGACTGTGGCCAATTCATTTCAAAGCAAGCACCAAAGCTGCATTTAACAGCAGACTCTTCAAGCCAGGTTCATGCACAGACTCTCTCGGACCGAGCCACCAGCAGGGGGTTAATAAATTCAGTGATGTCCGTGTTGCACTGTGGTTTGTACGTGTGTGTTCGCAGGCGGAGGATCCTGTTTTCCCACACCTGACAGCCCGGCCTAGCCAAGACGAGAGCACGTGAAGTCCTGATTTAAGAAATACCTGGATTTGATTACTCTGGGCACAACCACCAGCCTAATGTGAAATTGAATTATAAACCCATGTATGGAAAGTGCAGTACTTGGGGGTGGTAGAAAGAGGAGAGCCCTGGTTCATTCTCTCGCCAGCACCGGCAATGATAGAACAGGCCTGTGTTCAGGTGTGACCTGCTACCGGAGACAAGTAAACCTGGGAAGCACGTGACGGAGAGTCACTAACATCTGACGGCTGCTGGGGGGGTCTCAGTCAAGTCCCTAGTGGACAAGTGGCCATAACAAAAGCAAACGATTGGCTGGTTGGCAGTCTCAGCAGCGAGGCCAAAGACGGAGTGAGCCATGAAGACTGCTGCCCCACGGTCAGTCCCTCCAAGCAGTGGCGACGCCTGGTACTCACAACCTCTCTTTGTTCTCCTGCCCCAGCAATCTGCAATGCGTTTGGAAATGTCTGAGCAGTGGTTATCTGTGCTTAAACTCCCGACACAGAGCAAAACATGCAAAAACCCAAAAGGTAACAGCTAATTACAAATCAGTTTGTCTTTCCTGCAACCAAGGAACGCTTCCCCCTGCTCTTTTCACTAATTACTCAAGATGTCTGTGTTTAAATGAAGACTTTGTCCCTAGCCGTCTGGATCCTGTTGGTCTGTCTCAAATCGGTGGTGCACTGAGTGATATCAGCCGTTTCCATGCCATCAGCAGGAATATGTGGCTTTATTGCATGGAGAGGGCGCTGCAAAGGGGAAAAGCTCTGGCTTTAATCATTGGGGATAAGTACAGGAAATTGCAGTGGTGCTGTCCCCATTTCCAGTGTAACCAAACCTACCTGTGTGTGAAACAGCTGTCACAATGGTTTGGCTACCGTGGGGAAGGAGCAGCTGGCACTGGGGGTGGATTCCTCTCTGCATGTGAGGCATGTTCACACCGGCGGCCGATACAGAATCCATGCCCTCTCGGGGACAGGGCTAAATATCTGCCAGGCAAGGTTCCCTCTAATTTTTTACATCCATGTGCAGAATGAATTTTGTTATGTGCACCAAAATGGAGGTGACGTGTGGTGGGGGTGGGGCCAAGAGGTTCACAGTGTGGCAGGGGGCTCAGGGCTGGGGCACATGGTTGGGGTGGGGGAGGGCTCTGGCTGGGGGTGCGGGCTCTAGGGTGGGGCCAGGGATGAGGAGTTTGGGGTGCAGGCTGCCCTGGGGCTGCGGCAGGGAGAGAGGACTTCCCCCAGCTCTCTCACTGCAGCCCAGGTCCAGGCGCCTCTCATCAGCTGCAGCAGCTCCGGGTCTGGGAGAGAGGCGCCTCTTGCACCTGCGTGCCTCTTGATAGCCTGCTGTGTGCCCACGCAGCTTAGAGGGAACGTAGCTGCCAGGGACTCTCAGTGGCTTGTGGGGATGGCCTGGAACTGGTTCCATGAAGAACGTGGTCCTGCCCAGCACAGGGTAGACTGTTGCACATTTAGGCGCAAGGTAAAAACTGAGGGGCAGGCTAGGGAGTGTGTGGGAACCCAAACAAGAACACTGCTGCGTGGTCCCGAATCCACTCCTGCCTCGCCTGCAAAGTGCCCAGCAAAGCACCTTGTCAGCATAAGGAGGAGCCCACTCATCCCGTGTCTCCTCAGACCTGCCCATTCGCCACCAACCCTCTTTCTTACCCGTCGCTCTTGTGAGCAAGGGCTCGATCCTGCCAAGTGCCAAGCAGTGCTGTAAGGTGCCGAGTGCCCTCAGTTCTGACTGACTTTAATGGAGGGGAGGGTGCTCAGCAGCTTGTAGGACCAGTACAGACCAATCCAAACCATTGGCCCAGGCCTAACGTACAAGATACTGCATCCCATATGCTCTCTGAGCCAGGTGGAGGAACTAACCTGCAGCTGGGTCTCCACTTTTGTCTTGCAGATCAAGAATGCTGCAGCCAACGTCCTTCGGGAAACGTGGTTTATCTACAAACACACAAAGCTGCTAAAGAAGATTGATCATGCCAAAGTCAGGAAGCATCAGAGAAAGTTCCTTCAAGCCATTCACCAGTAAGTGGAATCCACTCCAAAGGGCGACCAGAAGAACAGTGGGGTGGGAGGGAGAATGACCAACATGGTCCAGACCTCGATGTTCCAGCTCCGTTCATAGAGAAGAAAATCTGAGCAATTTTCCATTTCCTTGCCAGCTGCCATTATAAATATGCTTGTCTCTTGTGACCCATTTGGTGTGTGGGGCTAATCCCAGCTGGATTTCCAGAGCAGTTAATGCTGATGGAGGGACCAGCACACGGAAAAAGGACATGGCTGTATCAGCGTTTTCTTCTTCCACAGGCTGCGCAGTGTGAAGATGGAGCAGAGGAAGCTGAGTGACCAGGCCAACACGCTGGTTGACCTTTCCAAGGCAAGTCCCTGAAGTTCTCTCCGAGGCCCACAGGGCTGCAAGCCTTCCATCTCCATTTACTGTATAATCAATCAGTCGGAGCTGGCTGAACGCAATAGACAAAAGGTCAAACACTAGGCATCTGGAAATGACAGTTGAGGTATTACTCATACCCTGCAGCGAGGGATAAGGCCCCTGGTTGTAGCTGTTACTGCACTCGGAGATTGGGGCAGTGTGGATTCTAACAGAGGCTGGAGTTGGACAGGTACAATAGTATTGTGTCTCATCTCTGGAACGGGAACGGCTGGCGCAGATGGGGTGTGCCAGTTCCCTTTGCAGCCCACACACAGCAAAGCAGGATCTGGGATCAATCTTTTAAGGTCAGGCTTCTCAAAGGGGCTTTAGGCAGAGAGGTGCCCAATTCCCACTGAAAATCAGCAGCAGCTGGACTAGCTCAGGCCCTGTTGAAAATGACAGCCTAAAACATTAGCCAAAGATGCTCTTCATTTGAAGACAAAATTCTGGTAAAGTCTCACCCATGCAGACAGGGGCTTATCCCAGAGACAGAATATCAATGGAGCCGCAGCAGCGTCACAATATGCATGTCTTCAAAGAACTGCAAGAGCTAAAAGCTCCCAGGCCTGGAAGGCCCAGCTGCTCCATTGGCAGGGCTCAGATGTTAGGAGGACATTATTTCTGGTTACTCTCATCTCGATCCCGGGTTAGATTTCGTAGCAGTGGGAAACCTAGTTGGAGAGCCAGACTAAGAGCTCAGTTTTCACGTGCGGTGTCCTGCTGAAAAAAAGATTTAATTTAGGGAGCAGCTTGGTGCTTCCTCTCCCTGACAAATAGAAGTTGGGTTGCTGTCAATGCAATGGCTTGTCTTTACGGCGGAGATGGGCTAAGACAGTAGGTCCCCAATGGGGATTATCCTTATGATGCAAATATCAGTGTCCCAAATTACCCACAAGCAACTCAGGAACTACCCACACAGCAGTGTAGCCTAAAACCAGGGGAAGATCCGGTCCAACCCAGAAAGCAGGTCCCTCTTCTGTTCGTTGTTGTATTATGGGTGTGCCCAAAGGCCCCAGTCAGGATGAGGGCCCTGTTGTACTCGGTGTTGTACAAACACAGGTGACTTCTTCATGGCCTCCAAGGCTTTCAGTGCAGAAGATGAAGGGCTAGAGGTGGAGGCAGAACACATGCAAATCCCTGTGGGGGTGATAGGCATAGCTGAGGCTGGGGATCATGTTTAATCATTTCCGCAGCGTGCAGATGGATCATAACACAGAACAAGCTGCAGAGCATTAGCCAGAGGCGAAGCTGCGCAGGCTGCTTGCACCGCTAGTAAATAAATCGAAGTATCTGATACAATCAAGCCTAGGCTGAGTCCTGCCAGAAAAGAGTTAAATCAGACGGTTCCAGCTGCTGCCAGTGTGTGCACCTTGCAGCCGAGAGGTGAACTCTGATGTTCTGCTGATCAATGTCTTTCTTATTGGGATGCTCTGGACCAGCCAGAAGTCTCACATCTTTCGTCTCTGTCCAGGCTTCCCCCGGCATTCAGTCACCAGGCAACGAATTAGAAGAGCATAGCATCTCTGGTAAAAACCTGTTAAAGGAATAAACTCGTTAGAGCAAAATCCTGTAACAGGCTTTTCTTTTAACGGGTCATTGATTCATTTTAAAGACTTCTCTCTTGATTTGGAAAATACGCTTGTGCCTCGCTACACAGGAAACATCTTCACTTATTGACTCAGCACTTTTGTTGCAATTTGCTCTGTTGCACTGGAAGTTCAGTCTCTGAACAGAGATTTCCCTCTTCCCAGTATCCATGTGAAAAGGCTTCACTGTTCACACACTGCTCTATTTGTTACAAGTATTGGTTTAGCTAGGTGCAACTGTGCCCGAACTCCCTCTAATCAAACTTTCACCTCCCTGCTGTAATTTTCCCTCTATTCTATTCTTTCTTCTCCCCTTTTAGCCACCTGTATTTGGCTGTTCCCATCTCTATTTTATGAACAGCATCAGAATCACAAGGTGGAGGTGTGCAGAAATCAATTCACTGAGGTTGCATGTGTGCGCACCCATGTCAGACCACACCAAGAGCAAAAAAGACCAAATGTGATGGAAGACTCTGTAATTTCCAAAAGAGCTGGTATTTCCATACGCCAGATTCCAGAGAGGCTGCCTTGCCTAATGGTTAGAGTAGGGGCAAGCCCAACTTTGATACTGCCTCACCGTGTGACCCTGAACAAATCAGTTCCCCTCCAGGCGCCTTAGACAACACTTACTTTTGTGAAGCGCTTTGAGATCTTTCCATGGAAGGTGCTACCTGAGTGTGAAGCAGCATTGTTATTTAGATCTAGTCTTACATGCTCTGACTCTGATGATTCCAAGCGTTCCCAAAAGACAGCAGCCAGTTTTAATTTCTTAATTTTTGGCCATTAGCTGGTTAGGAGCTGCTCAGTTGGGAGAATGTTCTGTCCTTAATCTTCCCAGGATTTGCCAACAAGATGTATTTTCAAGGTTTCTACAGCCGACAGCTCGGCGGGACAGAGAGTAAACATCCAGCGTTTGCCCTTTAGCTTTCGCTGGGTGAAATGTTTTCTTCTTAGTCCCAGTACAGAACTCTCGGCCTCTGAGGCTTCATTCCAGGGTTAGCCAGCTTGTTGCTCTCCCCAGCCCATCAGAAATGCAACCAAAGAGATTCACCCCCAAATATTTCTGATCTCCAAGAGAGACAGGGCAGGTCTTTCATATGCAACATCCTGCCGGCTGCTGCTCCATTCTTGCAGGTCTTTGCCAGCTGTGCCAGCTCAGCTGTAAACAGGGCTTTTACCTCCCACTTGTTCTGGTTGTGAGTGTCTTCTGCACTAATCCCTGTGATGTCTTCTTTGTCCCCCAGATGCAGAACGTTATGTATGACCTGATCACAGAGCTCAATGATCGGAGTGAGGACTTGGAGAAGCAGATTGGCAGCCTAGAGTCCAAACTGGAGCAGCTCACCACTAGCTTCAACTCTCTTCCCCTGCTCATCGCCGAAACCCTGCGCCACCAGCAGCAGCAGCTCCTCGCAGCTGTTATTGAGGCTCGTGGCATCAGTATGGCAGGGGGAACCCCCCAGACGCCCCTGTCCGACAGTCCGATTGGGGTCAGCTCCACCTCCTTCCCAACTCCTTACACCAGTTCAAGCAGCTGCTAAATTGCAGACTGAGCCCCCAAGCCCTAGGAAGACAGACAAGAAGAGCTACTTGTGGGTCTTCAGAGTCAAGTCAACTTTCTTCCGGCCCTCTGGCCGCCACAGAAACATCCAGGCCAAGCCAATGCTGAAAGCATGACCGAACTAACGCCGAGGTTAGCTCAGAGCCCTCGGCGTTCAACAACGCCTTGGACCCAGAAATCCAATCTCTGTTTCGGTGCCTCTACCTGCGATGAGAAGGAAGCGGATGTGAGGGGAAGCCTCTGGCAAGGCCCTTGCTGCAGTGTTTGGTGGAGGACAGAAATCCACACTCAATCTCAGGTCTTCAAATAGAAAACACAAAAACAGTCCGAAGCACTGAAGCAATGGAGCTGCACCAGAGGGAGAGTACTCCACAGCGCGGGCTGTGAGCCATGGGCAAAAGGGGGGCTTATCTCCGGGGCCTTCCTTCGTCCCCACTCCTCCCAGCCCTGTTCGCTAAGTGTCTTGCCAAGGACGAGTGGGGGAGGAGGACAATTAGTTTGCCACGACTGCTATCCCTTTGCCTCCTGCACCTCCCACAGCCCTACCGGGGAACTGCCAATATCTCGCCTTCTTGCACAGGCTCTGAGCTCAGAGGCCCGTTTGCCACCCCACCCCCTGCCAAAACACTGCCACACACACACATTTCCAGCTAGGGGAGGGTGCTTCATTTGCTTTATTCTGAGTCTCTTTAGAGGAGTGAGTCCATATTCTGCCTGAAGCCACGTGCTGGAGCGCAGCATCTGGGGCATGCCGGCTTCGCGGGGGTGTTTATTGCATTACAGGGCGGTTACAGGCAGATGAAACACACTGCAAGTCAATCCAACATGGATTGTTAAAAATGCACTGCCACTCCAGTGAAGCCATGCGAGGCATCCGAGTTCCAAGCACCCTGAGTCAGCGGGGCAGCGAGGGTTGCAGAAGCAATGCATTCAGCCAAGGGTCAGGGAGGGCTTTGTGGAATGGAACCAGATGGCTCCTCCTGGAGCTGCATCCAGTCCTGTTGACTGGAGCAAAGGTCACTGCACTGCAGGGCTTTCAAGGGGGCACCCTGCATTCCTCCTGAAAACCCCTCTGAGGAGTAGAAAAAGTTTTGTGGTGGATCTTGAATTACCTGCATCAGCCACACACCAGGGCCACCATTTATAGTCTCAGCAAATAATCCAGTACCTCTCCAGTCCAGGTACTCTTTGAAGAGGCTTCAGAACTGAAAGGTGAAACACCCAGGGCCAATTAGAGAGAGGGTCTTAACATGTGACATAATTTAAAAATTCTCCCCCCTGCCTTCAGCTTGTCTGACAACAATGACATTCTACTAGCTCAAACAGTGCTTGACCTAACCATGAGGTTGCTTTAATGGGAGGTAGTAATCGGGAGAAACAGAAAAGAATGTTGATTAGGACACTTCATCAGTTTAAAACAAAAGACGAATTCATTGCAGTGATTCTGTTGGGTCTTGGTAGATAGCAGCAGAACCACCCCGGGGTAAATGATGCAATGCGCGGCTTCGCAGGCAGCTAGACCAGTGGTTCTCAAACTTTTGTACTGGTGACCCCTTTCACATAGCAAGCCTCTGAGTGCGACCCCCCCTTATACATTAAAAACACTTTTTTAGAAATGTAACACCATTATAAATGCTGAAGGCAAAGCGGTTTTGGGGTGGAGGCTGACAGCTCGTGACCCCCTGAGGGGTCCCGATCCCCAATTTGAGATCCCCTGAGCTAGACAGATATCCACAGCCCGAGATGCTGCCCTTTATGGCCATCTGCTGGGGGAGCTGCCTTCAACAGCAATGGTCAGGAGTGGGGATGGACGTGCGAGTTACCGCCCCTGGCTGTGGGAGAGGGCAGTCCATGAGAGAGAGATGGCTAATCTTTGCTGGTTGTCACCTCCCAGCTTCCTCTGGGAACTAAAATGTTCCCTTCTCCCTCTGACGTTTTCACTTCTTTAAAAACTCTTTGTTCAGCCCCAGCTCCTGCCTTTGTTGTTTTAATGCCTTGTCTGGTCTTTGTTCAGAGGCCTGGGGGCAGCCGCAAGGCGCTGGCTTGCTTTCTTAGAACTCCGGGGATGGGGTTGGCTGCTCTCAATGAGAACTCAGCAGAGGATATTTATATATTTTTAAACGGATGAAGTAACCATGTAATTACTCTGTGCTATTAATTACACATCACCCAGCGGTGTCTGCTAATTGTACTGAAAGTCACTCTGTTACTCCAGGCACTTAGCCTGGAAACTTCTCCTCTGTAACTCTCTCACTTCTATAAAGAACACTGGATTCCATAGGGACCTAGGCAGGGATCTATCAGCAGCAGAGGGGTTTACATGCAAAACTCTCCTTGTTGCTGCTGGTAGGTCAAACCCTACACTGAAACCATCACTAGTTGGAGAGAGGAATATGCCTTCTTCCCACCCGCTCTAACGCTGGTGGCACAACGGTATTGCTCTACTGCATATTGTGGCAGAAATACCAAGGGAGTTCTGCTAATAATGCCCTAGTACCACAGAGGTATGAGTAACCCCGTCGGTAATGCAGGAGCAAAATGAGCCTCCATAAACACAATTGACCAAGGTCAGGAGGGAAATTATACACCCTCCGAAGAAGTACTACAGAGGCAAGGCAGGATGTTACACAGCCCCATGCCAGCAGGAACAAGGGCACCATGGACACCTTTCCATCAGCCCCACCCCACTAATGCGCTTAGTGTGGACATACGCAATCGACTGTATAAAATCGACCTAATTTTGTAGTGTAGACATACCCTCCGAGGGTTTCCTGCGCCAATAGCCATGGTACTCCTCACTCAGCACATCTGTCACCATCTTGAGAAGCCAGGGCTCAGGCACACCCCTTTCCATGGCGGGAGAGGTTTTTGGTTTATAGCCAAACCATTGCTTGGCCTGTCACCCTCCCAGTCGTAGCCATCAGGCCTTTCTCCTACTTCAGGAGTGCTTCCATTTCCACTGCCATCGTTTGAGCCTTGCTCCCCCCTTTCCCAGCCCTGACTGCATGTGCAGCATTCGGAGCGGAGAGATGGCTACGCTAAGATCACTGCCAGTATCCCTCCACTCTGGCCAGGAGGAGATATTCTAGCCACGGTAGCCATCTGCTCCCCCTTTCAAATACCGTGTAGGTCAGTGGTTAGGTCACTCGCCTGGGAGTCAGGAGCCCTGAGTGCCTGTCCTGGCTCTGCCACAGCCTCGCTGTGTGGCCTTGGGCAAGTCACTTCCCATCTCTCTGCCTCCATTTCCCCTCCTGTAAGATGGTGAGGACAATGCTTATCCATCTTTATAACGTGTTTTCAGGTCTAGGGATGAGAGAGGCTCTATAAATGCTAAATAGTGTTATAAAATACACTTGTCTTCATCTCTGGTGGTTCACATAGGACTAAACGACAGCAACTGACACTGAATCTGTGATATAAGTACTAGCAAGAGACAGAAAAAGAGATCCTCAAGTTTTAGATCACGAAAGGGAGGATTAGTTGCAAAGGATCAGTATCACCAACAGGAAACTTGTGCCTAATAATCAGTGTTGGTAAATCCTACTGAATGCGATGAGACTGGAAAATGCCAAATCACTAACAGATTCAAAGCTTTTGTGAGGAATGAAGCATAAGCAGTGAAAGCTTCAATATCACACGTAGGGTATGAGAATTTTTCTACAGGCATAACTGTCTAGTGCAGCGTAATTTCATTAGGATTGATTATTATCTTGACAGAAGTTTCTTGCTGGTTTATAAAGAGAGACAGATACTCAACTGCACTGCCAGCTGGTATCTCTGGTGCTGCCACAAGCAATGTTCCGTGATTCAGTTGACTGGTCCAATACTCCAGTTGTCACCAGGCACTACTGTTCCTCTACCCCACCAATTTTGCAGTCCCTCATATTCAGCACCTTAGACAGCAGTCTGGTTAATCTAATCATCAGTGGCAAGCATGTTTGACTCTACCTCTGATACCCGTTTTTACTCCTTTGTTGCCTCCTGGCGTTGGTCAAGTTAGTGTGGAAGTGAAAGCAATGATGTTTGCAGTGGCATTTAAACGATTCTACAGAGCCATTGCTGTCAGACAGCCTTTGCTAGTAGAAGGATAAGCCAGCCACTGATTATATTAATGAGACAGGCACATCCGTAGTGATAGAGTAGAACCTCAGAGTTTCGAACACCAGAGTTACAAACTCACCAGTCAGCCACACACCTCATTTGGAACCGGAAGTCTGCAATCAGGCAGCAGCAGAGCCAAACAAACAAAAAGCAAATACGGCATAGTGCTGTGTTAAAGGTAAACTCCTAAAAAACTAAAGGGAAAGCAGCATTTTTCGTCTGCATAGTGAAGTTTCAAAGCTGTATTAAGTCAATGTTCAGTTGTAAACTTCTGAAAGAAGAACCAGAACATTTTGTTCAGAGTTACGAGCAACCTCCATTCCCGAGGTGTTCGTAACTCTGAGGTTCTACTGTATAGTGTCAATTCCCACAATGTCCTAGGCTTGCCCTGAGTAACTCAGGTGAGTTTTCCTAGATTTACTAAGCTGCTTCACTAGGACTCCTTGTATAAACTATACCTGGCATCTCTCCTATACTGGAAACACCTAACCTGAATTGGAATTTCCCTATGAGTAGCCCATTGGCAAGTCTTTAACAACCAGTCTCCATCTCCCAGTGGCAGGGGGTACCTCTGTTTACATACCTGAGAAAGGCATTCTGGAACCTGCAGTAATGGGCCAGGAGATGACACCCCCTCAAACTGAACCAGAACAAAGGAAAGGAAGAACTGAGGCTGAGGGAGGAAAAGCACAAGAGTAAAACTCAGCGCATCGTTATCATCCCAAAGAGATGCTGACATTCTACAGACAAAAAGCAGTGACAAACCAGACACAAATCAGACTGAACCAGCCAATGCCCACATTTTATGGTAGAGGGAAGGGAAAAAATAACCATTCTCTGGCTCATTAATGCCAGAGAAATTCTCATTCTGAATCTCAGACAGGACCCACCCATCTTCAGCTCATCTCATTTCCTGGCACAGCCTCAGTTTTGCTCCAAGAACCTCTATTCTGCACTGTCCACGAGGGAAAAACCACAACGAAGCAGAATGCCAGAACCGCTATAACATCCTCTTTGCAACTCTCAAAACTGAAGTGTTTATATTCAGACTTAGACGATGAGCATCGATATGGGTTTGCATCTTGCCTCTGTACTGCTTGCTTTTTTTTTAATAATAGGAGAAAAGCATAATAGTTTATTTTAACTATGAAATATATTGCTATATTATAAAGGGTATTGTAACTTTCCATTAAGTTTTTGTATCAAACTAGTTTGTTAGCCGGCAGAGATGTCTGTCAAAATGTCTGTTTCTGAGTACAAGTCACTGCAGATTTTAGCTTAACACAGGGACTAAGGCAAATGGTCAGCAGATTAGAGCCTTTGCAATCCATTTGTAGAGACTCCACATGCTCCTAGCCCTGTGAGTTTGTGACTGCTAATATGTATTGCATAGGCGCTATGCACTGAGAAGAAAAAGATTCAAGGCAGGTCCTCAGCTGGTGCAAACCAGTGTAGCTTGCCTGACCTCAAAGAAGCTACGCCAGTTTCCACCAGCTAAAGTGGCTCTCGTTCTTTAAAAAGGCATTTCCCATCCAAGTCCTAACATGCCCTGCCAGACAGTTTCTCTCCCTCGTTCTCCAAACGAACGCAGGAGCCCGGGGCCTAGGCCACAAATGGCATGAATCCAAAACCCAAGCTCTGCAAACTCAAGTTTTCCCAGTGGGCCGTAGGAGCTTGTGGAGTGAGCAGTGGAAATGCTCCTCTCCCGAGCCCTGGGTTTCGGTGCAGTCTGTGCTGCTCCGTCGGGATAACAAGGCTTGACAGCCTCAGCTCGGTGCCCACGGACAGGACAGCAGCCCAGGATGCAGACGCACTGCTCTGACCTGGGAACAGCTTGTGCCCAGAAGAGGATGAGGGTCCGAATGTCCTCCTAGAGTAGAGCGTGTCTGCAGGGCAGGTGGAGGGAGCACACGGAAGCTCCCTGAGTCACTCCTGGCCTGTAGATCAGCAAAGAAATTTAGTTTTCAGCCGCTGTTGTCCCCGAGACCCCCAGGACCATATGTGTTCAGGACTTCCTTGGGGTGGGGAGGTGAACAGAGTCCTCCCTCTGTCTCTCCCCTGCCCTCGGTCATCACATGACTTCCTGTGTGATGGTGTAGTACTGCCCTGCCTCGATGAGGTTTGCTGCTGCAGATAAGCTCTGCTTTCAGGGGAAAGTGTTTTAAGTGAAACAGACCCGACAGTGCACTGCCCTACCTGGTCACCACCAACTCCCTGAGGAACTGCCCAACATTCTTAGCCAGAAACGAATGAGCCGTGCCAGGGCCCTCTGGGGTCAGATGACAGCCAGTGAGATACCAGGCTTCCTAGGGTACCCCAGAACGACACTGCCACAGGGTAGAGGTGACACATTTCTTCATTGGTATAAAGAGTCCTAAATTTTGAGAGGCGCTGATTTTCTGGTGGTACAAGGGGATATTCCTTCCTGCAGAACAGAGACATTATGCGTTTCCGGGGTCTCATTGAGTTTTTGAT